TCACATAAAGGACTGGCTTCATCTAGAATCATGCATACCTTTTCTGTGAGTACTCAGACATCAAATTCTTTACTTAACTCATGAGGACCCCTGAGATTGCAATATCTGGAAACACTGTCTCATGTATAATTGGTCATGTCATGTTCTTTCTCTGAAATGTATAACAAAATATTGACTTGATTGTTTCATTAAGGACGGTGCATCACAAGCTGGAAATAGTGGGCAAAATTGTGACAATGTTGCCCAAAATAACAGAGGCCAATATTTTCATGGAGGTAAGCACTGCACTTCTGACGGGTCTCATGATTGTATTACTTTATCTGAAAGTGAGAGAGTAAACCCTAGCTGTTGTTATTATTTTACCAGGGTTGGACCATCCCCCATATGCCATTAACAATTACGGGAATCTCCTATATGGCCAATGGAAATGGATGTGTCCCCTGTGAATGACTAACAATGGAGTAAGGTTTAACTTCAGTTTTACTGTTCAACAGTCATGGTGTGCTGAATGTTTTATTGCTGAACAACCATAAGTCTTTGTCCTCTAATCTGTCTCGCGTTCCTCCAACAGTAAGCAAGACATGCCAGCAGAGCTCACTGGAGCAGGGAGACATCCCGTCATCCCCTCGGCACCTGACAAGGTAAGGGCTTACTAAATAACAATAGTAACATCTGCACAAAGGGAATTCCTAATTAGATTGGTATTATTTGAGAAAGAATCCTAAAGATGGTCAAATGGGCATGAAGCCTCTCTCTTCATCTCAGTCTGTTGAACCACCTGATTTCCTCTAGGGCTAAGATTCAGGTCCTGCTGAACAATGTAAAGCAGTCGATGAAACACCTGCAGGGGCAGTTGAATAACATGCAGGGGCAGTTTATTGAGTTGCATACTGCTATCTCTCAGGTAGTGTCAGATGAGTCTTAGATACTGTTGAATAAGTCTGTAATCATGATGTTATGGTGAGGATGATGATTGAAATGGGGATTATTTTAATGATGATAGTAACATTAATGTAATTGTGTATGTATAGTATCAGTACACATACAAATGAGTGTGTATGTTTGGGATGGATCGGTGTCAATTACATTATAGATTGCAAGTGGTTGATTTTTCTTGAATGACTGTATGTGCTCTATACTTCATCCCAGAAGCCAACATTGCTGCACAGAGGGAGACAATCTCAACATCCATCACTGCATGGAGGGGGGGGGGGATCTTCCCAAAGACCAGCGTCTCTGCACAGAGGGAAGGATCCTCCCGAAAGCCTGCGTCCATGTGAAGAACGGAGACAATCGTCCACAACCACCATCCATCGTCCCCATGGTGGGACGAAAGTGGGAATGGGATGGTGGAGTGTATACGTCACTTGTAGATTTCTATTCCAAGAGAAGAGGTAATTTAAGCCTTATCTTATAAGAAATGAAATTGCCATTGTAAGAGTGTGAGAATTAGTTGTGATAGATCAAATGCCTGCTACTCATGTGAGTGTATGGCTGTTATATTTTCATGCGTCCTCTAGCTATATAAAACAGGTTAAGCTCTAAGAATCTTTGTGACTGCCGGCAGTCTGGTTGAGAGTATCAGAGCGAGACACTCCTGCCTGTCAGCTAGTGATTGTTCTATATGGTGACATGAGCAGAGTGGCCTGACTCCCACTTATTACAGATGTCCGGAGTAGACATGTTGTGCATCCTGCTATGATGTCCATCACCAAGCCAGAACACTCCGAGGCCAACCCTCAAAGCCAGACTGGCAGCCGGCCAGTGGCTGAGCCTGAGACCCCTGCTGCTAAGAACACACCAAACAATGGTGGCTGGCTCAGCTGGGTCTTCTGGAGGGGAAAAGAGGTTAATCCGAAGGAGGATCATCTACCCGAGGATAAAGACAAATCGGTAAAGAACCTGTTATTTATATTCTATAGAGAGACACTTGTGAATTAATCTTTTTCTCTGTGGCTTGATTCACAGTGTTATTATTTTCTTCCTCAGATTGTCTGGGATCCAACCATGCACAGATGGGTTGACAAAACTGAGCCCAAGGCTGAGGTATACACTTAAATTCACTTAAATTTAAAGCAGTGAATGACCATTGTATTTCAACTATGAGAATGTTACTAAGAGTTGTAAAATACGTTGATGTGTTTTACAGCACAAGCCTGTGCCACCACCTCCCCCGATGGGAATTAATGGATCTATGGAACTCTGGCAGTCTCCCCAAAGGTGTGAATCCTTACTCCATGAAAGCAGGTGAATATTGCTTTAGACTACATTAGGTTTAACTCCAAGAGTGTACCAGCCAATCACTGCTCTCTGTGGTGATCTCCTGCTAACATTTTCGCCACTAACAGCAGGTCTATGGGGCAATTATCCCAGGATGCTCTACCCTGATGGGACCACCACAAAGCGTCCAAGCCAGGGACCTGGACTGCTCCCTCCCTCACACTCCACCCTCATGGCGCCTATGGCTGTGCCATTTGAGTCTGCTCAACATAGCTGGCAGAATCTTGCCCTTGGCATTCTATCCTATTGAGGTATGATTCTGAACAATCCTTCCTAAATGTATCAATTTCATTAACTATGCCTTTACTTTACAGTAGCATATGGCTGAAGTAACAGTGATGTTAACTTTTTGTATTTTTCTCCCACAGGCAATTTTCCCAGAGTGGATTTCTTTATAAGGGGATTTTTCTGCATTTTCAAAGAATAAGAAAAATATTTAGCAAAGAAAAATATTATTTGCCGATAGTCGAAGGCGTTCTTACAGTTGAAATCGGAAGTTTACATATACCTTAGCCAAATTCATTTAAACTCAGTTTTTCACAATTCCTGACATTTAATCCTTGTAATAATTCCCTGTTTTAGGTCAGTTAGGATTACCACTTTATTTTAAGAATGTGAAATGTCAGAATAATAGTAGAGAGAATTATTTATTTCAGCTTTTATTTCTTTCATCACATTCCCAGTGGGTCAGAAGTTTACATACACTCAATTAGTATTTGGTAGCATTGCCTTTAAATTGTTTAACTTGGGTCAAACGTTTTGGGTAGCCTTCCACAAGCTTCCCACAATAAGTTATGTGAATTTTGACCCATTCCTCCTGACAGAGCTGGTGTAACTGAGTCAGGTTTGTAGGCCTCCTTGCTCGCACACGCTTTTTCAGTTCTGCCCACAAATGTTCTATAGGATTGAGGTCAGGGCTTTGTGATGGCCACTCCAATACCTTGACTTTGTTGTCCTTAAGCCATTTTGCCACAACTTTGGAAGTATGCTTGGGGTCATTGTCCATTTGGAAGACCCATTTGCGACCAAGCTTTAACTTCCTGACTGATGTCTTGAGATGTTGCTTCAATATATCCACATAATTTTCCTTCCTCATGACGCCATCTATTTTGTGAAGTGCACCAGTCCCTCCTGCAGCAAAGCACCCCCACAGAATGACGCTGCCACCCCCGTGCTTCACGGTTGGGATGGTGTTCTTCGGCTTGCAAGCTGATCCCTTTTTCGGCCAAACATAACAATGGTCATTATGGCCAAACAGTTCTATTTTTGTTTAATCAGACCAGAGGACATTTCTCCAAAAAGTACGATCTTTGTCCCCATGTGCAGTTGCAAACTGTAGTCAGGCTTTTTTATGGCGGTTTTGGAGCAGTGGCTTCTTCCTTGCTGAGCGGCCTTTCAGGTTATGTCGATATAGGACTAGTTTTACTGTGGATATAGATACATTTGTACCTGTTTCCTCCAGCATCTTCACAAGGTCCTTTGCTGTTGTTCTGGCATTGATTTGCACTTTTAGCACCAAAGTACGTTCATCTCTAGGAGACAGAATGCGTCTCCTTCCTGAGCGGTATGACGGCTGCGTGGTCCCATGGTGTTTATACTTGCATACTATTGTTTGTACAGATGAACGTGGTACCTTCAGGCGTTTGGAAATTATTCCCAAGGATGAACCAGACTTGTGGAGGTCTACAATTAGTTTAGGTCTACACTGAGTTTGAAGGTAGGCCTTGAAATACATCTACAGGTACACCTCCAATTGACTCAAATGATGTCAATTAGCCTATCAGAAGCTTCTAAAGCCATGACATCATTTTCTGGAATTTTCCAAGCTGTTTAAAGGCACAGTCAACTTAGTGTATGTAAACATCTGACCCACTGGAATTGTGATACAGTGAATTATAAGTGAAATAATCTGTCTGTAAACAATTGTTGGAAAAATTACTTGTCATTTTGCCAAAACTATAGTTTGTTAACAAGAAATTTGTGGAGTGGTTGAAAAACTAGTTTTAATGACTCCAACCTAAGTGTATGTAAACTTCCGACTTCAACTGTAATTAAAAGACTCAAGCATATCCCTCTCTCCGTCATTTCATCATGTTCATATAGCTTTGATGTGTTCATCATTATGCCTTAATTTCAAATAAATGGGGAAAATAGCACCATCTAATTTCATTATTAATATTGCCTATGCATTATTTTGTGGTTGAGGCACATAGCTGGATGATCTACACAACATATGGCAAATGCCAATGACTCGCTATGATAAATTCTGAGGTCAACTTCAACTGAACGAGTTCCCATGAGCTTGAAAGTATTCACTTTTTTGTGTATCATTGAATAGGCTATGCTTCAGTTAGTTCACACAATAATATCCATAGTACAATATACAGTACTTCTTTATTGAGAAATATAACAGAAATGTAGCAAAAATGGCATCATTTTCTGAGCTACGTAGAGTCTAGACTACATCTATTGGCAATTTGTAAACTCTTCACTGGTCAAACACATGAGCAGTTATTAGTTACAATTGATTTCTTGAAAATGTTGCTGCTAATGTAAAGCAAGCATCCAAAGAATGAGTAAAACCTCAATTCAAGGAACATATTAGCCATCACTAGCTACATGAACATGAGCTACACCTTTAAAACGGAACTGATATGCACTCTTTTGGAAGGCGAGATTGATAGTGGGCATTCTTGGATGAGTCTTATTTCCTGCTGATGCTAGCAAGGCTGCATATCTGGACCCTGCTTGCACTTGCTATAGCTTCCAATTAACAGCTTATCCATTCTCATCAGCTCCCTACCCAGTGGTGTGCACACACGACTCCCAAACATCTGGTTGGTGGTGTTGGGGAGATGGTCAGAAAACACTGGCACATAGTTTGGTAAAGGTCTCTCTGCTCTGTGGTTACCCTGTGTGGACAAGTGGGCACAACGTTTAGGGTCATACCAACTTCAGATCAGGATCATGCAGCATTGATATCAACAAGAGATTGTGTTAAAAGAAAACAGTGGACTATTTAACGAGATAATAAATTGGCAAATTATTTACCAGCTGATCATAGTTCTTGAGAAAACTCCAATTCTTCTGCCTGTTGATCAAAACACAATTATGATTGTAGGCCTATTTGGTTGCCTATACCAGGGGAGAACGACTGCCCCCTTTCATTGAAACCACGGAAGCTCAAGGCCGACCGCGGTACTGCAGGCATTGTTAGCAGAAAACAGGATCCACCATTATAGTGGATGGAATAATGTCAATCTTCGTGTAAATAAATAAAAATTCCGAAGACAATCATAGTACCAATAATTCCTTCTAATACACCAGATGTATGTCCTTGAACCGATTATTTTAAAATCGCACCCAGAAGAAGTTATAAGGATAATTTATATAGTTGCCAATGGCAGCCTGCAGTATCCAGGTCAGCCTTCAAATTGAGTTACTCAATGAGAGGGGGCAGCACTGAGCTAGCCTGCAACATCACTTCCTGGAATAGTCTGCACATGTTATATGACCATGTTATGTCTCCATGAGACACCATCTTAACCTACTTTATTTGGGGGTTTCCACTAGATAGCACAACCACAAAGTCAAAATTGGCTGAATCGTAAAAATTCAAGAAAACAAAAATGTGCTTTTTGGTCTTAATTTAAGGTTAGCAGATTTGGCTTCTCGATGGCGTTGTCCATTCATATACAGTCATTGGTCTATACTCCTAACACGCAGTTGTGTCATGGGCCTAAGGCCTACCTCCCTAATGATAGGCCTACATTTCATTGGGTACCAAATAACATTGTCAGCATTTATATGTTTAATTCTTCAAGAATAAATGGAAAAGATAGGCTGTATCATGAATTGGAATTAAATTCCTATTAAACAACAGTGAAGATTTCGGATTCAGATTGGGCTACCTGTATGAAATGTGCACTAAAGATAGACAGGTAAAAAATGATAAGGAGGGAAATAATTCATGCTGTGCATTCTAAAAGCAGCCATTACCATTCTTTCACTCCATTCCTCTCTGCGCGCACGAACTCGCGCCACACTTGATCCTGTTTGACTGGGTCGCGAGACAAGGGGGTCTGCCAAGGACTCTCTCCGCCGCCGGGGGTTCGAGTCCTGTCCGGCGGAAGTTTGTACACAGAGACGGAGGACTGTGATATCAAAGCGACGTTAGGTCGGTCTGGCAATCGGTAGCCTGCTGAAGTTGCGCGTTTGTTGCCTTTCGTATCCATTCTAACTTTGCAAAGACAAATTGTATGAATTTTAGAACAGAGTGCGGATGTGCCCCCAATCACTACTGCTTTTGTAGACTCAGCTCTCTATTGTTTACTTGTCCGTCTCCCCGGGAGACTGTAGGGTAATTCAGCTCTATTCATTAGCCCAGTCATTGGTTTCCACAACTATACCGTTACAGTCTGTACGGGACAGAAGATAAGCCCTACCGATGCCTATTCAAAGCCCATTTCCCGAGACAAAATAAAATATAATTATTCTTTGCGCGGCAATAATCAATCCGTGCTGTCAATGCAACAATTTAGGCCTATGTTGTGTGCTGGGAAGATAGATCTGCAATACAAGATTGTTGCACTGAAGCTTTTAGTTTTTATCATGGAATTATATCAGTAGAATAGCCTATTATAGATTTTGAGAATGTTAACACAGGATTAACATTCAAAAAAAAATAATCAATTCAAATCAAATCGGATTGGATTCAATAGGATGTCAACCAGGATTGTAGGCTAAGGAAATTGTTGACATGACATATTAATATGGCCTGAGTGTAGAAAACATTAGGAACCCCTTCCTAATATTGAGCTGCACCCCATTTTGTCCTCAGAACAGCCTCAATTTGTGGGGCCATGGACTCTACAAGGTGTCGAAAGCATTCCACAGGGATGCTGGCTCATGTTGACTCCAATGCTTCTCACAGTTGTGTCAAATTGGCTGGGTGTCCTTTGGGTGGTAGACCATTCTTGATACACATTGGAAACTGTTGAGCGTGAAAAACCCAGCAGCGTTGCAGTTCTTGACACACTCAAACCCAGGGCTGCCAACTTTTGTAGAAAGAAAGCATTGGAGTGAGATTTTCTATCTTAATTTCGTTGCCCCCTGGCACAACCCCCAGGAACATTTTACTGTTTTAAAGCTAATTTCCTGCAATTCTACATACAGTATTTCGACATGGCCTTAGGCCTATGACCAGAGTGGAAAATTCAAAAAATAGGTGTATCCAGGATGCTTTGGACATTAAATTAACACTCAAAGGTTGACGACTAATACTTTGAGATTTTTTGGGAATTCAATTTAAAGTATGCTAATATTTAAACATATTTTTTAGGTGGTTTGACATTTCATTCAGACAGTAATGAAATGAGATGGGGAGACAGGAAAATGGGAGAAACAGTGGGAAGGTTGGAAGCAGGGATTGGTTCCTGTTCTCAGGTGAAAGTTGTATGCAACACATGCCTGGGAGTGTTACCACTACACCAAGGTTCTGCACAGGAAATACTCATATTAATAGTTGATGGCAGTGGGTAACCAAATCATAGACTGCATTCTCCTTGTCCATAGACTGCTTTCAAGGTAAGGACACAAACATTTAGTAATTTGGGTGAACTATCTCTTTAAAATAGGGCTGGAAGAAAATCCTGCTTCCTCTCCAGGAGGGTTGGCCACCCCTGATCTATAATTCCTAAGTGCTGGGTTTTATAACAACAAAATGTACTTATTATAACAATTAATTTTCAGGTGGTTTATGCCTACTAGTTGAAGATCCTTGCCATCCTCTTACTCTACATAGACAAAACATTATGTGTTTATGAGTTGAGTCCCCCTACCATCTCTGCCTAGCATGTGCACAATACTAAAATGTCACATTATATTTGAGGCCTGGAGCATTTAATATACCATGCTTATTTTTATGACTTATTCAAAACTTGGCATAAATGGCTGCAACAATACATTGCCTAACATTATTCATTTTCAAAGACAAAAGTATGCATATTAGATTTCAAATATGTATTTACACTGGCACAATTGTGAAGAAGTGGAATAATAAAATAAGTGTGGGGAATAACAGTAGTGTTCTCGCTGACAAGCACAGTTTTGGGTTCACAATCTGTTTGACAAAATTATTTTCATAGTTACAAATCAGGTCATCCTACCAAACATCCCTACTAAAACATACTGTAGGCCTACGTCTGCTGCCTTTTCGTTGTCACAGCCTAAATGCCAAACGAGGAAACAACATTGTACATAAAACAGCGCTACCCTACTGCTCTTTTTTTACAGATTTATAAACTCAACAGAGAACGTCCTCTCTCTCCATTTAGCTCGACTCTAGTCTTGAGGGGCGTTTCTTTAAAATGCGCATCCAATACCCTTGACCCCTTACATAACTAGACCAATCATATGCTTCAATGTGCCGCGGTTCACAGTGCTGTGGCAGGACAGGACAATGATAGAGGTTCCGCTCGTGATGTTGAATTGAAGACGCAGATACTCCCATTTCAAAACGATTTGGAGCACAGTTGAAAAGTTAACCCACTGACTATACAATTAACTAATTCGAAAATAAAGTAGTACTTCTCAATGCGTGAGATATAAGAGGTGTGGCGAGTGAGAAGATGGTCAAATGCGTGTCTCACGGCCAGTGCGTGAGAGTTGGCGATTCTGCTCAAACCCGTGTGCCTACTACCTACCATACCCCCGGTCTAAGGCACTTAAATATTTTGTCTTGCCCATTCACCCTCTGAATGCCACACATACACAATCCATATCTAAAAAATCCTTCTTTAACCCGTCTCCTCCCCTTCATCTACACTGATTGAAGTGGATTTACAAATTACATCAATAGTATGTTATGGCAAGAGCAGGTGTTCCTAATGTTTTGTACATTCAATGTAATAGTCCCGTGTAGCTCAGTTGGTAGAGCATGGCGCTTGCAACGCCAGGGTTGTGGGTTCGATTCCCACGGGGGACCAGTATGAAAATGTATGCACTCACTAACTGTAAGTCGCTCTGGATAAGAGCGTCTGCTAAATGACTAAAATGTAAATGTAAATGTAATTGTCCACGTGAGAATTGAGCGTTGGAAAATATATCCACAAGATGGAACCCTAATGTAACTCCAGGTGACTTGCTGTGGACCGTCCTATATTGTTATCTCTGGTTCTAAAATGAAGCATTTTTTATGGACAGGTTCAGTGGTGTTGTGGAGGGTATATGCAGGTATAAGCCTATACCCACTTTTTTTGTGGGCATTGTGTATACTCGCCACAATGCATTCGGAAAGTATTTAGACCCCTTGACTTTTTTTTCACATTTTGTTACATTACAGCCTTATTCTAAAATGGATTTTTTTTTTATATCCCCCTCATCAATCTACACACAATACTCCATAATGACAAAGCAAAAACAGGTTTTTAGAACTTTTTACAAATGTATAATAAAAAAGACCCTTTACTCAGTACTTTGTTGAAGCACCTTTGGCAGTGATTACAGCCTTGAGTCTTATTGGGTATGATGCTACAAGCTTGGCACACCTGTATTTGGGGAGTTTCTCCCATTCCTCTCTGCAGATCCTCTCCAGCTCTGTCAGGTTGGATGGGGAGCGTCGCTGCACAGCTATTTTCAGGTATCTCCAGAGATGTTCGATCGGGTTCAAGTCTGGGCTCTGGCTGGGCCACTCAAGGACATTCAGAGAAGCCACTCCTGGGTTGTCTTGGCTGTGTGCTTAGGGTCATTGTCCTGTTGGAAGGTGAACCTTCGCACCAGTCTGAGGTCCTGAGCGCGCTGGAGCAGGTTTTCATCAAGGATCCCTCTGTACTTTGCCCCGTTCATCGTTCCCTCGATCCTGACCAGTCCCTGCCGCTGAAAAACATCCACACAGCATGATGCTGCCACCACCATCCTTCACCGTAGGAATGGTGCCAGGTTTCCTCCAGATGTGACGCTTGGCATTCAGGCCAAAGAGTTCAATCTTGGTTTCATCAGACCAGAGAATCTTGTTTCTCATGGTCTGAGAGTCCTTTAGGTGCCTTTTGGCAAACTCCAAGCGAGCTGTCATGTGCCTTTTACTGAGGAGTGGCTTCCGTCTGGCCACTCTACCATAAAGGCCTGATTGCTGGAGTGTTGCAGAGATGGTTGTCCTTCTGGAAGGTTCTCCCATCTCCATAGAGGAACTCTGGAGCTCTGACAGAGTGATCATCGGGTTCTTGGTCACCTCCCTGACCAAGGCCCTTCTCCCCCGATTGCTCAGTTTGGCCAGGCAGCCAGCTCTAGGAAAAGTCTTAGTGGTTCCAAACTTCTTCCATTTAAGAATGATGGAGGCCACTGTGTTCTTGGGGACCTTCAATGCTGCAGAATTTGTTTTGTACCCTTCCCCAGTTCTGTGCCTCGACACAATCCTGTCTCGAAGCTCTACGGACAATTCCTTCGACCTCATGGCTTGGTTTTTGCTCTGACATGCACTATCAACTGTGGGACCTTATATAGACAGGTGTGTGCCTTTCCAAATCATGTCCAATCAATTGAATTTACCACAGATGGACTCCAATCAAGTTGTAGAAACATCTCAAGGATGATCAATGGAAACAGGATGCACCTGAGCTCAATTTTGAGTCTCATAGCAAAGGGTCTGAATACTTATGTAAATAAGGTATTTCTGTTTTATATAAAAAATAAATAATTTGAAAACATGTCTAAAACCTGTTTTCGCTCTGTCATAAAAATAAAAAAAATAAGGCTGATGGATCAGATCAGAATGTTTAGCTTAAAAATCTTCCAAAATGTGATTTGCAGGAAAACACTGTTCTAAAATGCGCACTGCACATGCGAGCGGTTTCATGGACAGAGATGGAAATATCTGTTATACATTTAGAAAGAGGGGAGATCTAAAGATGCAACAACCACCATGGGTTGTTAATATGACTAGGATAATAGCTTTGGCTGCTAGACAATGAAATAAAGTTGATTTGAAAACCAATAGAACAGGAGAGCGCATATGAGGAAGTATTTTTTAATAATTGCCTCCATCTTCCATGGTGGGATTAAAATGTCCAGGTTTCAAACAATTAAGGAACAGGAATCATATCGCAATGCTAATGATAGGCCTAACCGTATTCTGGTAGATGGAAAGGCTTTCCCCAAAACATTCTCAGTTAAATGTTAACTAGCTACAAAGTAGCCTATGCCTACCTGGCAGAATGATATCATTATTATTTACATAAAT